TCTTTCCAGAGTCTCCACATCTTTTCTGCATCGTGGCGACCAAAACTGGATGCCGTATTCCAAGTGTGGCCTTACCAAGGCATAATAAACTGGTTCCCTGGAATAATAATAATAATAATAATAATATTAATCGTTACTTTTCTCTTGGTTCTCATAGCTGATGTTTTCTTTCCTGTCTTACAGATACCAAGGTGCTAGAAAAATCCAACTTGGCTGATCTTTCTGTGCCTTTCCAGACCCCCTCTGGGGATCATCAGATGGGGGGTCCCTCTTGCAGGTAACCAAAAATTTAGGCTGCCTTTCTTTTGCCCTCGTTTTTAACTTATTGAATTGTGTTTGTCGCCCGTCTCGCCACAAGGGCGATTCTCCCGCCGCTTCAGAGAACCACAGACGGAGTTCTCTGTAGGAGAAGAGCTAGAAAGATAAATAAACAAGTAAGCAAACATCATGAGGACTAGTAACTCCATTTCAGGCGAAGCCATTGGGATAGGGAGCGTGTGCAAATTCCTGCAGTTGAATTGGGGAGCTAAGCAGGTGTAAATTATCTGAGAAGAGAAGGAGGGATGGAGATGGGGCAGGCGAGCTGCAGAAAATCTGGCATGGTTTCGTGTGGGCAGGGACGCCTCGTGCCAGGAGCATGACCCGAATGGATTTCACGGAAGGGCCCTGCCCTCCTTGGCTGAATGGGCCGCTCCCTATGCCAGCAGGAAGGAAGGCTGCCGTGGGTCCCTTGATGTGCCAGTTCTGCATCAGCTGCTCATCCTTTGAGTTGCCCTGATCCATTCTGCAGTTCCTACAGGGAGCAGCTGCAGCCAGTATCTCTGCCCCTTCCCTCCCTCCCTCCCTCCCTTCCTTTCCTCTTGTCCCTTCCACATCTTGCTTTCTTCCATCCTTCCCTAGATCGTGCTATTTTTTTTTCCCAAGAGGCAGATGGACTTTCTGTTTTTTTCTTTCGAAGACGTTTCTCTTCTCATCCAAGAAGCTTCTTCAGCTCTGACTGGAGGGTGGAGGATGGAAGGATTTATATTCCCTGCAGACAGCTGGTCCTTTGCATCCTTTGAGAGGGTCCTTGAGGCCCCTTGGAGGTTTTATCTGTGTCCTCAGGGTCACCTGAGTGGTGCAAATGGTTCCTGTGGTCTGCAATTTCTCTCTCTCTGGAATTCCATTCCTTCTCCCACCCCATTCCAAGGGTCTTCACCCCAAATTGTGTACTTAAAAGTCTGTAGAGATTCTCAGTCATCCAGGTTGTCCCAAAGGTGCTTTTTCCAGGAGGCAAATGGACTTCCTTGTTTTTTCTTTCGAAGACGTTTCTCTTCTCATCCAAGAAGCTTCTTCAGCTCTGACTGGAGGGTGGAGGATGGAAGGATTTATATTCCCTGCAGACAGCTGGTCCTTTGCATCCTTTGAGAGGGTCCTTGAGGCCACTTGGAGGTTTTACCTGTGTCCTCAGGGTCACCTGAGTGGTGCAAATGGTTCCTGTAGTCTGCAATTTTTCCCCCTCTGGAAATCCATTCCTTCTCCCACCCCATTCCAAGGGTCTTCACCCCAAATTGTGTACTTAAAAGTCTGTAGAGATTCTCCATCATCCAGGTTGTCCCAAAGGTGCTTTTTTTCAAGAGTCAACTGGACTTTC